TAGATTGTATCAGACATATGGGCTAATATAGGACTTGTGGACTTGATCTGGACTGGCCCAGGATGTTTTCTTACTATACAATCGCTCTTTTATACAAAGCTCTTTCTTATACACATATGAGTGTCTACGACTTTGTTTCTCCAGTCAAACCGGACTAACACCCTCCTGTTGTGGGAAACATTCATCTATCACCCCATCAGGCAGGCCAGCAGAAGTGCTGGAAGTGAGGGGAATCTAGATGAGAGGAGCTGTGGTTGCTAGAATCTTTCCTGTAAATCTTTGCTAGGGGTGGGCTGTAGAAGACACTGAGGTATACCCCCAGATACACTTCATCAGGTCAGTACACTTCCAGAACTTCGGTGAGTATTGGCTGCTAAAGGCTCGATGCTGTCCCACTTTTAGGAGAAGTGGTCTCCATTAGTTATATATTCCATTCTCTCCAGAGTAGTCCAAAGCCAATGCCTAGCTGATGCAAAGAAATGAACAGTTTCCCTCTTGTCCCTAAGGACTATGGATGTCCTGGTTAATCAAGCATCTGTGGACTCCTGAGAGTCCATCCTTGTGCGACTCTATCTCCTTTTTGATCCTGCTTTACTCTCTCAGCCAAAATTTCTCTCTTGAATAACTCCCTCATAAAACATCACATCCAATTGCTGTTAGGGGTTATCTAGTCTGTTTCACCTCATCGCATCTCCTCAAAACTCACTGCCATAGATTCTATTCTGACTCAAACAACCTACTAGCTCAGAGTAGAACTAACAGCCCTCGTGGTTTTCTGAGGCTGTAAATCTTTACAGGAACAAATGGATTTGAACTGCTGCAGCCCAAAGCATAACCCACTATGCCACCAGGCCTCCTAGGCTCATTCCTATCTCAGGGTCTATATCTTACAGAGCTCTGCCTAGAACAGAGGTGGAAGAAAACACAGTCATGGCATAAAATCAGGAATGAGTCCAAAGTATTCCAATAACGGGAAGGAGGCCAGCTGGCTGGAGAGGAGTAAGACAGGAGAAGGCGTGCCAGAGATGAAGTCAGAGGGACTTCTCAAGGTCCTATAGATCCTGGAAGACTCTGAAGACTGTTAAAAGGATATTGGCTTCAACTCTGGATGAGGGGTGGACGTTTAGAGCAGGGGAGAGACGTGATCTGACTCTGTTTTAGCACAATCATTCTGGCTGCAAGAGCAGGAGCCAAGTTACCAAGGTCATGGAGACCGGAATTAAATTGTGCTGCAAAAAAATGGGAACCCAAACTCTTCTGGTCTCAGAGTCCCATTCCAATCCACTGCCTGGAGGGAGCACAAAGTGCACATCTGGCACACATGCAGTCGGCGCGCAACAGGTTCCATCTCTTTGACCCTCCACCTACCCTGGAGGAAGCCTTCAGTACTACAACCAATGAGAATCAAGGTCTATGCTTGCCATGAAGTCCAGAGATTGATGGCTACATTACAGCCGAAATAACCCCCTAAACCTAAATAAGTAGCTGCTTCTCAAGAAACTACATGGGAAGAGGAAAGATGCTGACTTGCTCGGAGTGCTTTACACTGCAACCATTCAGAGTGGCAAACTAAGAATCGTGAGTACAAGAGTGAAGCAAGTGTTCTCAAACGGACTGTGGCAGTGATTGCACAACTCGTATCTAACAAATGTACAACCAGTGATGTGTGAATTCTAGGCCCATACAACTGTTCAAGTTAAAAAGCAAAAACAGAACATCTGCCACGTATATGTGGTGTGACCTTGGGCAAGTTCCTTCCCCTCTCTGTGCCTCAAATCGTTCACCTGTAAAGTTGTGCTTGCGATAATATCCCCTTCCCTGGTTGGGCTGTTAGGAGAACTGAATGAGTTTACAGTGCCTGGAACACAATAAAGTGTCATTCGTATTTACCAAGTGGCCTTCAAAAAAATTGTGGAGAAATTCCATTATCGTTTCATTCCAAGTTTCCACAAACGTTTGAAGCCCCCTCATTTACACACATCAGCAACCTTGTCATATAAAATCAACAAATCCGTCTCTCATTCTCTGGACCATCATTCAGATCAAATGCTTTCTATGCCATGTGCTCCGCTACTGGACAATGGCTACATTTTTTTCTGTCTACACTTGTAAAATATGACTGTACCTTTGCCTGATGAATTGCTCAGTTGCTTTTTATTGGTGGCTATTCTCCAAGAAGTCTAATAATACTTGACTCTAATCAGCCCCTCTGTGAGCTCTCAGAAGCTTTCCTATGCATTTGTTACAACACACACACGCGCGCGCGCGCGCTGGTTAGAAAGTGTCTGAAGTGTTCCATTTAGATGAGGATCTCAGTCTCAAAGGCTTTTAGACACCCATGATTTACACTGCCTGTTAAGTGAGAAAGTAGCAGGCGCCATAACTTCTGAATGCTCTGTCCCTTATAAAACAAAAAATAGCACTTTGTGGATTAAATATATATATGTGATTCTGTCAACTGGTATTATGTGAAAATCCACAGGGTAAGGAAATACCTTTAAAAGGAGTTGCCCGGATTCTGGGAAAGGCAATTCATAGGCCACGGACATCTCTAATCCTTACCTGGTGAAATACCTGGTATTATTATCGCTCACAGACATGAGGTGAAGAATTCTCTCATTATCACCATCAAAAGGGAATCCTGCAAGGGACCCAGTGATGGAGCTTGCAGTGATGGAGCTGAAGGAGCAGCAGGGATTGCTAGGCAAGCCAGGTCTTTTTTTCTTTCCTCTGCCAATGATTTCTCTCTAGAGATCTCTGACAAGAGTCAGTTCTGGGTGGTTTTGGGTCTCCCCACCCCCTTCTTAAGGCCCCCAGCAATTGTGACAGCACTGATAATATCTCGTATTTATTTGTCGGTGGTGGTGTTGTAGATCATTGACTTGATTCCAGCTCCTACTGATCCTACAGGTCAGAGCAGAACTGCCCCTGTGGGGTGTCCACAGTTTTAATCTTTTGGGAAGCAAATCATCTAGCCTTCCCTGATCTCTACCCTCACAAAGCCAAGGGGTAGGTTCGAACTGCTGACCTTTCAAATGGCAGCCAAGGTCTTCACCACTGCGCTGCTAGGACTCTTTGGTATTTATTAAGTGCATTCTCTATTTCCAGCATTCTATTAGCCATTTCTCTGTTACTCTGTGGAGCAAGCCTGAGGAAGTTGTTCAAAAGACCAGAAACACACAGCTCAGTTTTTAACTTGGAAGTTAATAATGTTCTTAGATCCCCAAAGCAAATCAATCCTTTGATATATGAAAGGATCTTCACATAGGTCATCCATTCAAATACAGCAAAACCAACTTTTAGGAGAAATCTTCTATTGAAAAACAATTAAAGCTCAAAAAAATTATTTTTAATTTAGGATTTAGAAATTAAACTCCCAAGTATTTTTTATTGCACATATATCTACACCCAAACCAAAGCCACTCCTGTCTGATTGATTTCAACTCATATTGATCCTGCAAAACAAAGGAGAACTTCCCCCACAGGGTTCTCAAGGCTGTAAATCTTTACAGAAGGAGTCTATCATATCATTCTCCTGTGGTGGGTTTGAACTACCAACGTTTTGGTTAGAAGCTGAGCACTTTAATCACTGCACTATTAGGGCTCCGATAAGACAGCAACGTGTGTGTGTGTGTGTGTGTGTGTGTGTGTGTGTGTAATGTGTACATACGTGTCACATAAGACAGCTGGGTGTGTATTGATGGCTATGGTCCAAAGTCATGATTGTTATCCCTGCCGTTGTCAGATTTCTTTGTCTTCGCTGGAATAAGCCATTTAAGTCACTGTGCTCTCTCTTTGCATTTCTAATGAGATCAGCACGACCACAGGGAGGGCCACTTAATAAAAAGGATGAAAACTCTTGAAAGAGAAAAGTGATTATAATCACCTCTGATGTTTGCTCAGTCTAGTCGGCCCCCACTGAACTAGGTTTTAATCTATACATTATTCTTCTGGGTAGGTCTGTCTGAAGTCTTTCTGTTTTTAATTCTTGAACTTATAAAGCATCCACTCCAATTCTTTTATGAGGAAAGCCACTGGAAGTGCTCTGACAGGAAATGGACCGTGTGTGTTAGAAACAAGTAGAATAGGCTCCGTGCGTCCAGCGATAGTTCTTTAATTGCAACTGTTTTTACATTTAAGAGATGACACATATAAAAATACTAAAGGAGACCTCAGGGGGCTTTTAAAATACCAGGATTAGAAAAACATCCAAACATATAAAAAGCTTGTAAAGTATATTTTTCACATTTATTTATAAGGAGAGATAAGGAATCATTTTTCTTTGTACATAAAAGCCACGTATTAATTCACTGACAAAGCCTAAGAAAGCATTTCCTAGGTTTATAAAATTCCACAAGTTAAAATGTCACATCCATTCATTCAGATGGCAAACTCCTTCCAGTAATAACATATTTCACTTTAAAAAAAATTTTTTTTTTTTTGTTTTGGATGCAAACCTCACTCAACTTGGGGACAGTATTTACCATTTCCTCACTCTCATCGATGAGATTTGCTGCTTTAAAGAGTCCGGGGGTTTTCAGTTACCTCTTTAAACGGTTTTGTAACTCATTCCCCTCTTTGAAAACCACACCACCAAAGCGGTCCATATGGTTTTCTATAGTGTTTGGCAAGCATTTCCTTTTCATTTAGAGTGAAAAATAAAGTGCCAAGTTCTTGAAATGATTTCAGCCCGAAGCCTCCCTGCTCTTGTCGTGGAATTAACATGAAAAATTCCCTCCCTCGGCGTGTCCCAATCGGCCATGTCTCCATCACTGTGCATGCCGTCCGTTTCTCAAACAGGGCATTTGGAATGTTGCTAACTCACCCCAATACTTCCGCTGCATCTTCTTTTCCTCTAGACATACTCCTGTTGGGGCTCCATCCAACCCACCCACATGAAAATGTTTTGGCTTTGTCTTAAGCCCAAGACAAAACCTCAGAGCCGTGGACAACAGGGAGCTAGGCAGAAATCAACCTCCAAGTTTGCATTCAAACTTTACCTTTGCACAATCCCGAACGTGTCTCCCACGGCGTTCTTCACACCTTCCTTCCCAGGTTTCACAAGTTTTTCTTTGAAAGTAGCAAACGCTTTGAAAGGCATTTTGAATGGGGCCACCTTGGAGCGGTTAAGAGTCCGTCTCAGAACTTGGCATCCTTTCTCACCTCCAGCGAGGGGACCGCTTGTCTCGCTAAACAGTCCGTGGGAAAGACTGCAGATCAATAAAGAGATGAAATCAAGCCCAGATCTTCCCAGGAGGGAAGCACCCCCGCCCCACCACCCTCCTTTTAAAAAGGCCAAGGCGATTTGCGGGGCAACTCAGCCCGAGTCAGCGGCAGCTGCTCTCCCACGGAGAACAACCTCCCTCCCAGCCCGAGGCTGCAGCCGGAGAAGCGAACGTGGGTTTCCGCACACTCCCCGCAGAGCACACCAGCCTTGGGGGCCGGTCTCCAGCCTCTCTGACCACCGCCCCCTCCTGTCCTGGCAGCGCGCAGCTGTGGCTGCACTGAGCGGTGCTTTCCAAGGTAATGCTATAGTAACCAGCACAATACCTGCCGCTCAGCCTCTCAGGCGGATGAGCGGGCTCCCAGCCAGAGCAGGCACCCAGAGAGAAGTTTATTAAACATTTACAAGTCCTCCAGGTTCCCAGCCATCGCTTTATATCTGTCATGTCCTCATGGGAGTCACCAAACCGTTTTTTCAGCCAGACTGCTAGTGGGATGTGGGTCCAAGCAGAAGAACACTTGCCCTTGGGAAGCTACATGCAAACCCCAGGCCACAAACATCTATTTATAATTCACAGAGCAGGGTCTCTCAAGGTCTGGTGCATAGCCACCAACTCCTAGAGTGGATTCTGATTCTGAACTTCTCCTGTGTGTTTACAAGGCTGTAAATCATGGGAGCCAACAAGCTCATCTTCCTCCTGGGCAGTGGCTAGTGGATTGGAACTGCTGAGCTGATGGTCAGCAGCCCAGCGTGTGAGGCACTAAGCCATCAGGGCTCTGTGTGCTTCCGTGCCACTAACACCCGCAGGCATCACGTTATTTCTAACTCACGTTGTTGCCGTTAGCTGCCATCGAGTCGGGTCTGACCCAGAGTGACCCTCTGCACAACATTGCCCGTCCTGCTCCATCCTCACAGTTCTTCCTACGCCCGAGCCCGTTGTTGCAGCCGCTGGGTTAGCCCATCACATTGAGGGCCTTCGTTGGCACGGCCCTTCCATTTTACAAGCATGATGTCCTTCTCCAGGAACTGGTCTTCCTGGCAACATGTCTAAAGTATGTGAGACAAAGCCTTGCCCATCCTTGCCTCTAAGGAGCACTCGAGTGGTACTTCTTCCAAGACAGATCAGTGCGTTCCTTCAGTAGTCCACGGCACTTTCACTATGCTTGTCAGCACCACAGTTCAAGGGCACCTATGCTTCTGAGGTTTCCCTTAGTCAATGCCCAACATTCACATGCATGGGATGCATGTGTGCAATGGAGAATGCCATGGCTTGGGTCAGGCACACCTTAGTCCTCAGAGTAATGGCTTTGTTTTCAAGACTCCAGAAATAAATCCTGTGCAGCATAATTACTGAAGGCAGCATGTCTTGTGATCTCTCAGCTGCTGCTGCTGCATTGATTATGGACCCAAGCAGGGCAACATTCTTGACAACTTCAAACTTTTCTCCATTTATCATGTTATGAGTATTTGGGTCCTCTTTACATTGAGTTGGAATGTATGGCTCATAATAACCCTATAAGACAGAGTAGATCTGCTCCCTGAGTTTTCAAAACTGTAAATCTTTACGGGAGCAGACAACCTGCTCTTTCTTGAACTGATCACCTTTCTGCTGGGCTCTTTTGGGTACTTATGGGACCATCAAATTGAAGATCACTGACCCAGCCGTGAGCCTACTGTTCATCTTTCCTGACTCTGTGGCCCTCAAGATAAATCCAAGGTTTTTAGCATGTCACACAAGGTCTTGTGAAGTAATGGATTGAGCCAAGTCCAAAATGGGGTCTGGCTTTTGTCCTTGGCTTCTGCAACATGATCTTCCTGATGGACATGCCTTTGTTTCCCTGGGAGCCTCTCAGCATGAGATAGTCTAACATATGACCTGAAGGAGGAGCTGGCCACTCCAGAAAGGCCAACAATGTGACTTAGGGACGGGACTTTGGGCCACGTGGCTTCAGTTAACTCTCAGAAGGGCTGGAGGCTGAGCTGATACATGTGAGCAATCAATCATGCCGACATGATGGAGCTTCAATAAAAAACTCCAGACACGAGAGAAGGCATCATGTTCAGTGAAGTAGATAATATTCAGTTATGTGGTTTGGCATAGTAGACTCAGCAATGGACTTGGACATACCGATGATTTGGAGTATGATCAAGGACCAGGTAACTACAATTCAATGCTAACTCAATCGCAATTAACAACAGCAATGAGGAAAACACGAAGAGTAAAAATGCCAGCATTTAAGTAATTTGAGGTCTAGTGTTTCTTTAGTTAACATTTGCTTCTCTATTTTGGTTATTGTTAGAAAAACTTTATATTTTTCAAATCTAATAAATAGCATTATGGAAATGAAACATTTTATTACACTCAAATGAATTATACTACTTCTGACAGATAATAAGAAAGTAAATATATGGATAAATGTTCATTTCTTTCCCATCAAAGAAAGCACATGCACACAATTATATTGCTATTCAATATATTAAAATAATTTGATGTTGGGAAAAAAAAAACTCCAGACATTTAGATGCTGGTGAGCTTCCATGGTTAACAATACTCTCTGTGTGTCAGCTCACATTGATCAAAGGAAAGTAATGCTAATACCAGAGCCACGGGAATATGCACATAGGACTGAGTCCAAAACAAGTCTCAAGCAGGAAATTCTGTTCACGCCTTGACTCTGGTATTAAATTACATCCTTTCCCCCTTAATAAACCATAACCATTAATATGACAATTCTCAATGAGTTCTGAGCCCTTCCAGTAAATTCTCAAACCTGAGAGGGTTTGGAAACCTCCCAAACCTGTAATTGATAACAGAAATGAGGGTGGTCTTGTGTAGACTGGCTCTCTTCTTATCAACTGCTTGTCTGAGTGATCACAGACCCTTTATCTGACTTTGAACCTTAGTTCTTGTTACTTGGCAGTTCATAGAACTCATCCCATTGCTTCTGGGACTTTGTCCAAGCTGTTCCTTCTATCTGGGTAACTGTTTTCAGTCCTTCATCTGAGTAACTTCTAGGGATCCTGAAGGCCCACTAAGACTTCCTCTAGAAAGGCTAAGAGTCCCTCTCTTTGTCTCCAAGTCTTTTGTTATTTTACTCAGTAGGGTCTGACATGTAATTGGTGTAACCTAATTGCTAGTCAGACTGGGGTTAAAATAGCACTTATTGTGCTGTGTCCACAGGGATGGACAGCAAGCGGATGACGCCATCAATGGTACCATCAAACTCAAGCAGCCCTCGTGCAAGGGGCTCTTCAGCTCTAAGCCCCCAGTCTGTGCATGACTGACAAGCCATGCACTTGAGACTCTCAGATTTTCCTGGAGTCATTGCCACAGGACCAGTGAGGATAAGCCAACAGGCAGATGCTTCTCCAAGGCTTGAATTGTTCAACTGAATCAGAGCTGGATCCTCAGTAGGTTAAGTTACCAATTGCCATCTATTAATTCCAACTCATAGTGTTACTATAGCACAACGAAGACCTGCCCAAAGGAATCCCAAGGATGCATTGCTTCTGGCAGCAGACAGCTGGATCTTCCTCCCATGGAGCCCCTGGTGTGTGCAAAACACTGACCTTTCGGTTAGCAGCCAAATGCTTGACCACTGTACCACCAGGATTAAATATTAATAAGTAAAATTTTGCTAAACATAACTCAAAAGCAGTAACAGCAATACATCGACAGGGCGCTGCCATTAATTCAGGCAGAATTTATAAGAGGGCATGAAACAAGGGAGGTATTGCTGATGTCACATAGGTCTGGCTGAAAGCAGAGAATACCAGAAAGGTATTTACATGTGTACTACTGACTCTGATTGTTATACAGATAGTCAACTGGGTGGATCCTAACAAACTATGGGTCACATCATGAAGAATAGGAATTCCAGAACATTTCACTGTGCACATGAGAATCGTGTCCATAGACTAAGAGGCAGTATTCCAAGGGACCCCATCTGTGGCCAAGTAGAACTGTGCTCCTTAGGGTTTTCAGTGAGAGTCAGACCTTTCTTCTGAGAATCTTCTGGTTGCCCTTGAACTTCCAACCTTTGTAGCAGTCAAGACAACTTACTATTTTCCCAAACTTACTGCCAGGACACCAAAGAAAAGAGAATTTAGGCTTGCTTGAGATACCACAACCGGTAAATGGCAGAACCCAGTTTTAGATCCAAACAACCCTGTTCTTATTCTTCCTCTTGTTTCTCCCCTCCTTCGTCCTCTTGTCTTTTTCTTCCTCCCACCCTCTCCCCCTTACTTTTTAAAGTCACATTTTGTATATAATTTCAAGCGTACAATTCAATAATTTTTGTAATTTCAACAAACTATGCCAGCATCATGAAGCAGTCCTAGAACATTCCCATTGCCCCAATAAAATGCCTCATATTTACTATTAATCCCTTTTTCCTCACCCAGCCCCCGTACCACACAGCCATTAACCTGTTTTATGCCTCTATATATTTATTTTTTCATCATGTTCCATATAAATGAAACCATCCAATATATCATCTTGTATAATCTGGCTTCTTCCATTTATTATAGTGATTTTGAGGTTTGTCCGTGTCATAGCATTATCAGTAGTGTTTTCTCTTTATTTGCTGGATAACATTTCACTGTCTGAACATACCTAATTTTTTCTTTCTATTAGCCTATTGATGGGTTATTTCTGGCTCTTAGAAAGAAATATGATGGTTAGAACGTGTATATGCAAGTCTTCACGTGGACCTAAGTTTTCACCTGCTGGATTATATGTTTATTGTATACATCGGCACATATTACACTTTATGCTTCACTTTTTCAGAAACTGCCAGACGATTTTACATTCTCACCAGCAATAGATGCAGGTTCCCATTTCCCCATATCCCCGCCAACACGTTATATTCTCTCTCTCTGTCAGGATCGCCATTCTAGCCAAGCGAGTTGTTGTGGAGTT